TGCATAGCGAATACTCGAATATGACAAATACATCAATGAGAATTGTCTGCACAAAACTCTACTGCGGTAGCATTGATGATTGTACTTGAGCCATGACATTGTCCATGTATCATACTTAAATATTTTTGGATTGACCTGCCCTGGATTTCTCTGTTCTGAGTTTTTTTGCACTATATCACCATACATCTATGGTGTGTAAAATGCGCAGACTGCGTCATTTAGTTATGGTTGGTGATAATAATCGATTAAGTTTAAGGTAGAAAATCCGTTGCCATTAACAAATCAAACTTTTCTTGAATTTGAAATATGTTATGCATTAAATTTTTTTATGTTTTCGAAAATTAATGTATCAGTACTAGTTTTTAGGATACTTGAGTTTAAAATGTATCTTTGAACATAGACTGCAATAAGGTATAGCAATAACAGCTTTAATGACATACATTACAAATCAAACTATTTTTATTAAAAATACTGTACGAATCGTCAAAATTCGCACTTTATTTCAGTTCTTTCAAACTATGATGAGTCGGCACAAAATGAAAATCAGTTTATTAATTAATATCCTTCCTATGAAGCGTACAGCCATAACCTATAAGACTGTCATCATACGATGAAGGGCACACTTCACTCGCTTGACTTAACACGGTCCACGGATTTTCCACCTTAAGAAACATAAAATATTAATGATAACTGGAGGAAGTAGCCCATTAAGTAACTATGTCATAAATCAAATATATTATAATATACAAAAAATTTCTTGGCAGTTACTTAATAAATAAATAAAGACACTCGATGTAAAAATATTATTTATAGAAGCTATATAAAGCCAGTTTGTTTATTGGATCTGTAATTAGCAAGAGATATGGGATGTATAATATTATATTCAATGCATGACTTAAATAAATTATTCAACGATCTACCTTTGTATTTGTTATTATTTTATTATTTCATTAGCAGCTCCCCGTCTTGGCTTCGCCCGAGACTTACTAAATAAAACACCGTAGTGTGTTGACATGTAATGTGAAACATTTTCAGTTAGAAATTTTACACATTTTCCTGACATATCTCAGAACAAAAATCTTCTTATTAAAAATATATTTTTTCGGAATCCATATAGTTTATTTGGTCAAATAATAAGGTGTAAAAATTCAAAAAAATAATTATTCTGAAAAGTACCGTGCGTTCTTTATGCCATAAAGTAAACGGTGGCCATAAGAAGCCGTTGATTTACAGTTTCTCCCGTGTAATTCACGAAAAGGGCTATTTTTTAAAGCTGTTAAGATTTTAAACTCCCAAAAAATTTATTTAAAAAAAAATTTTTTTTCTCATATCTCACAACTTTATTACCAGATAGAGCAACAAAGTCCTGGACCTTAAACCCTACATTATTATTGCCACAAAAACACAAACATTTTCTACTTATTTAAAAATCTGAAGTAGGATCTTTAAAGATTTTAGAGATTGCTGTGAGGGTACAATGAAAAGCTGATCTCTCACGTAATGGATTCTTTATTTGTCGATTTTGACGCTGCTGTTCCAATCTCGATAAATTTTCTGTGTCAGTTTCTTGACGCCTAAGTAAAATTGTATTTATTAGATACATTTGAAGTTTTTCTTCCAATTCACCCTCTTGCGACTTTTGGCATGCTTAAAATTTTTGTGACCCCTAAAAGCTGTTTTCTGTCAACTTGTTAAGTTCTAATATATTTGTTGGCAAGGTAGTTCGACGTCCGATGGCCCTAAAAAAGACCGGTGAGCTTCTTAAGTTAACTCTTTCTTGACTGCAGTTAACAGCAATTGTGACTGCCTGGATACCTCAGGGTGATCTTCTCTGGCCTGATGTTGAAAACCCAAACTACTTCGGAGAAAAATTACTAAATCCGAAGCTTTGGGGCTAGTTGTTGTGCTCTTTCCCAACGTCTCCCGGTATAACGTCGAAGACGTTGGTGTCTAAAGCACCTTTTTTATTTTGCAGATTCAGTTTTTTGGTGATCTTAGATGGGGAGATTGGTTAGTAATACTTGTCCAGTGGAGGCTGTCCCGTTGGCTCAAGTTTTTTTTCTTTCATATGTGTTATAGAATTGCCCAGCGCAGACCTTTTAGAGTACCAGTGATTCCTGGTTGAATACTTAGAGTCGAGAGGGTAATACAAGGTCGTCGGTCACCGGATTTTCCAGCCTTGCAAAGAACAACTCCGCAGGTGACGTCTGCTAGTGAATGGCTGACTTTGTTTAATAGTGCCCGTCTTTAGTTAGTATCGTCTTTTAGTCGACGAATCGCTTCCGGAAATGGTAGTAAAAGTTGGCAAGGTAGTTTACACTTAGGTGGCCCCTAAAAAGAACCGATGAAATTGATGGTTAAGTAGGAAACGTCAATACTTATAATGGCCCTAAAAAGCGACAGTGGTGAAACTTCCAGGCTATTCTTTATTTATTCCTGATGATGAAGAGCTGGCTACGGGTAGCTTGATTCTTACCCTGGGAGTCTCTATATACGGAGACTGTGATGGAGGGAGGTACGCCACTGACCAAAGAATATCTCGTCTTCGGGTCGTTCCCCAGATAACCATCCGCTCATCGTTAGACGGGAACATGTGCATGGTAAGCGCGTTGGAGACGCGACGACTAAGAAGGTAGCCGTTGTGGCTGCCCGTGCCCCTCAGAGCTGTTTTCCCTGGCTTACACTTGTAGCCTAAAATTCTCTGACTGCACCAGGCGGGATGGAGGGACTGCCACACAACTCTGTAGAGTTGGTGCAGATTGTGCTCTGGCTAGATATGTCTCCTGGTATTATGCCAGAGACGTCATCGGTTGGAATGAATTTTTTTTTGATCGCACTCGTCGAGATTCAGGGTGAATGTAGACCTAGGTCCCTTCCCTTTTACAGAAGAGTATCGCGTAACCGGGATATTCAGCAGCAAGACTATCATCAACATTCTCTATGCAGCTCGTTGAACTGCCGAAGCACGACTGCATCACTATCAAGACGCTCCGGCGTATTATAACCACACTTATTTAATTCTGTTGCAGGTAGCCTCGATTTTATGTCGACGCCACCTAGCGGATCCTACTGAACTAAAGTGAAAAGCTGGCGTATTTTTGCAAAACTTTGAGCTCATTTATTGCTATTGTTATTAAATTTTTTAAGATAAAAACTATACTAAAACCATCTACGAAGTAGGTATCATGAATCAGTGTGCAAAATTTCAGCAAAATCGGCTCAGTAGTTTTCGCGGTTAGCGATTACAACGATTTTAGCGACTTTGCTTTATATATTAAGAAGATAAAAATTAAATTTTTCTATTACCATTCAATAACATGCTCTGAACATTGATAGTAAAAAATCTAATATATGGAAGGTCAACTTGATTAGCTCATCAGACCTCGTGGTTAAAGAGTCTACCTCTAGTATTTATTACACATGTTTATTTGCTTGGATATATAAGATTTCATTTTCTACCACTAATTTCTATTGCCACAACAAAACTTGAGAAAAAACTTCTTTAAATTAGCAGTTTTTTCAACGAATAATTTAATTAGCTATTTTTTTCACATACCCGTCGAAAACATCAGTTGGCTAGAAAATAGGGAAAAGAGGGGCACTGTGAGGCTATAAGTACAATAGTATACTACTCACCTAGCGAGGAAAAATAAAGAATATCTAAGATCGCAGGCAATTGACATAATTGATAAACATGCGATCTGAGGGATTCTTTGTTTCCTTCCGTGGGTTCTACACTATTTTTCACCAATCCTGAGCCTGGAAAGAGAATTTTCGTTTTGTGAAGCAGGACAAAAGTTTTTTCTTTCGGCGATTTTTGCTTTCCTATAAGGAACGATGAGGTTAGCTGTGGACGTACAGAATGTATCATTACTTGACAATTTTTAGCTTCAGCAAGAGCTAGTGAATATTTCCTTTTCACTCAATTCTCCTTTTAAAAATTTTTTTTTTTTTTTTTACTTCACGACCATCGTTTTATTAAGTAATCCAATGTCAATCTGCAATAATAAACACAGGTTGGTTGAGATTACAATATATTATTGGTTGCTCTACTCGAGGCCAACTAAACTCTTTGTTTTCGTTTACGCCTTTTCAAAAAGTTTTTTCGTATTATTCGTAACTCTCTTTTAAAGCACTGTATATCAATAAAAAAATGACTATAATTGGTATACGAATGTATTACTAATTGTTTAAAATTCAAAATTTGTACAGAAAAAGTTAATATATCTCATTAACTGTTGATAATGTATTTATACAAAATAGTTAAGCCGGAAAAGGCCAGTATAATACAAATCAAATTTCTTTACTAAATCGCTTAGCACATCATACCCCCATCTCTTGTACCAAAGAAAATCATAACGTTTACTATAAAAATTTAAGAATGAAGCAAATAAAAAAGGTACTACGTATCGTGTGGGTAGATCCATAAACTTATACGTAAACAGGCATGACGCATGAGCCGATGCAAGCTTAGGTAATCAGAATGTAATTATTTCTGACTGTTAGCAAAAAGTGCAAAAAATCGTCATACTTTGCGGCGCTGTGGACAAACAATTTGCTTGACCAGAGAAAAAGGCCTTGAAGTCGTAAATATTGGTAGACGTCAGAAAATGCCCCGGTTAGCCCGAAAGAAGAGAGTTTGAAGAAAAAAGCGAGAGAAAGAGAGTGAGAGAGCGAAAATTAAGGCTCCGGACAGAAAGGTAGCGCGCCACCTACACACAGGTGCAGGCAGGTGAGAGGGAGGCTCGGGGTCACATCCCTCCGACTTTAGGTGGGGAGAGCGCGCTTTCGCCAGAGCGCGCAGAATCCCCCCGGCGACCAATCAAAGCACGAAGGGGGTGCGAGCGAGACGGAAAAGCAGGGGGTGGCTGACGTCAGGTGGACAACTAGGTAGATTGCGTGGGCGCGGAGGGGTAGGGACAGGGGCGAGTAAGCGAGCGCCACTAGCAGCACGGCAGGGAATCAATAGCGCGATCGTGGCGCACAGCAGCAGCCCTTGAGCCGCCAGTCGGCCCGCAAGCCTCGTCTGGGCGCGATCGCGAGAGGCTTGACAGTGCGGCCTATTCCCCTCCGCACGAATTTCCACAGCCACGCGACAGTCCCTTGGGTGCCTACCAGTCATACAGCTACAACAGACGACTGAGACAGACGATTTCGGGGCCAGACCAGCCTCAGGGACAGCGCGCGCGAGAGAAGAAGAGAGAGGACCCGTAGGCCCACTCGAGGCCCAGCTATAAGAGGGGCGCGCATGAGGTGGCGAACTGAGGAGAGTGATCAGAAGTGCATTGCTAGATCGGTGGCGCTGGGGAAAGTCCGCCTTCCATCGAGTTGGCCCCCGCAAGCGCCACTTATGTAACGCCAGTCCCTCGCTCTTTTTTCTCTCGACGGAACATCAGGGCGGTCGTGGCCTGACGACTCATCGGGAACAGGTGTGAATTGCTTGCAGTAGGTACTCGTCTCCCCCAACTCCCCTACCGCTGTTTATGCTACCCTCCCTTCACCATCCGCCGCATCAAACCCTATGACTTATTCTTTGTCGTCCCAAGCTTGTGTAGAAGTTCTACCTGAAAGCATTGGTTAGTTTGCATTTTTCTCATTTTACGTATGCAGGTACTGATTTGGAGTTCTCATAATAGTAAGTAAGGCCCGATTTTAAACGAATTTCCGGGTAAAACAACTTTGGCCAATGATTTCGGAATTACTGTAAAAATACTTTGCACAACCTTTGGCTTGATTAGTTTCCTCTTGTCGTGTCTGACCTGTATTCAAAGCCCAGCACGCTTATTTGCCTTCAATTGAAATGAAACGTTTTCTATCTCTATCTGATGCGTGGCTGATGATAAATTCCAAATCGCGATCAAATAAAATAAGTTTCAAAAACCCAACCAAAACGTAAGAAAATATTTGACTTCGGCGACGAGGTGTAACGCGTCTATAAACAGCTAGAGACTTCCACCTTCAGCTACAGCTTTAAGTTTTCAATCGATCACGCAAACGTGTCTACATTACGGGCAGAAGATTATTCAATATTGACAACACACCAACAACCGAACGATCCACTGTTTTCATGTGCGAATAGTGATAATGAAATTAATTCCACTTCACACCTATGTTTCCCATAAGACGAAGATTCTAAATTCCGGAAAATATATAATTACCAGACCTTGAAAGTTATTGTACTCCCCCCTTCCATTACTAGGGTGGGAAACGTTTTGTGTGAGCTGATCGTAAGAACTCATCCAATGTCCGCACAGATGAATACTCCTTATTAAACACAATGGGTGTACATGTACTACTCAAGTCCTGACTTGAGACAAAAAGGTGGGAGGGGTGAGATGTAGAAAAATCCAGTTTCGTCGTGAAATTTGAGTGATTGCAATAAAAAGGCTCGAGATGGGCGAGTGGGATGGAAGAAAAAAAAGGTGGCATGCGTGCGTCGCTAATTAGCTGGTCGAGCCTTTGCTTAGGATCGCAAGACGCCGAACCTCGGCGTCAGGGTCACATGCGATCTATTTTTGGAACCACTGGAAAATTTCTTTCCCGCTTCCCCCTTTCTTTCCTCACCGCCATCAATATTCCACTGTACACCTGCGCATGAGATTTCCAGCGAATGCTAAGGTGCCATGTTTCGCTCGAAAATCTTCACGAGTTACTTTCTTTACTGGCTAGAACTGTTACACCTCCACCCCCTCACACTCACCTCTATCTTCCAAATTATTGCCAAGCTACTCATACATATATATTTAAAAGTGCCAAGGGACATCGACGCGCGATGCGAGCTTTGCATCGACATCTCTTACCATCCCACCCCTTCCCGAGCTCTTACCTTTTTTTTTCAGTATCCGAGGTCAGACGGTCTCGCGCAAGCTCGGCTCGCTAAAATGAGTGCCGATCGTTAAAATCAATGATCCCAGATATGGATGAGTATTAACGCGTAAACGCTCCAGTAGTGCGTCATCTCTCGTTGAATTGTAGATAATGCACTTGCGGCATATAGATATATGTGTGTCAGATACCTGGTGGCAATTATGGTGTACCAACAAAGGGGGGCACTCATTTGCACCAGATGCAAGTTATTTGTTTGCCACGGACAGTGCAGCCGGCCTCGCGATCGATTTTCTTTTACCAGCGGCTTGCTTTAGTTCGTAAGGGTCTTTATTTAGAATGCGCGTCCGTGATAGGTATAGCGCGATAAAAATGTAGAAGCTCGCTCGTGCGGTTATTGCGGTTCAGTGGCAAAATTCATTTTTCTACTTTGGAAATTCCTTATTTTTTACCTTTGGACGTTTACTGAGCTTCGAGTGGAAAAATTAGAGTTCGCACCTGGTGCGCACATAACCCCTGGACCCTGCGCCACTAAGTACGAAAATTACTATTTCCTAGATCATGAAAAACTCTTGGTGGAAGTTTTTCATTATTGAATGTCATCTATGAATAAATAAATACTTTGATCAAAAGAAAATGAGAAACAAGTGGGAGACTTAGGTATCAACGTCACCAAGCTTTGAATAAATAACGAATTGTACTGACGGCGACAGTTCTATGCACTGTGACGCACATTCCAGATAATTGATAAAAAAATAAAACGCTAAACCTGTACTCTGAGTTTAAAAATAGTAGTTTCCGTACCTGGTGGCGCATGTCGCCAGGGCAAGCACCAGTCCTGAGAGAGACTACGTGTGCTTGCCTTGGTTGCATACACACCTGGTGAGAACTCTTTTTTTCCTACTCAGGGGTCAGTATAAACGTTTAGAGGTAAAAAAATATCTAAAGTAGAAAGAAATAATTTTTTTACCTTTGGGCGCAAAGTACGACCGCGCTTATTCAGGACCTTTTTGGACGTTTTTTTGAACCTCTTGACGTTTACTGCGCCCTCAGTCGGAAAAGCAGGATTCGCTATATAAGTGCCATCAAACTAAGGCTACCCTGTGACAAAAATTATTTCAAATAAAATTTTTGTTCTTATCTATTGGGCGCAAAGTGCAACTACCGCTTTTCACCATTGTAATCACTTTTTACCTTTTGTAAGAAAAACAACATACACGTCCCGGGTGCAAGCGTGCAACAGCCATGACCTTTAGGTACTCAAGTTGGTAATGTACGCCCTAGTTACGTAATGCACTATTATTTGCGGTTACTATTGTATTATATTATTATATATTACAATGTAATATTATGTTACGTATGTAACTGTGTATTTTTACCTAACAGTATTAAGGAGCTAGTCCACACACAATTACCAAGCAATAGCGTATTTCATATTATGAGTGTAAATTTTGACTTTTACGCTCAAAGATCACTGTTGCCGTACGTTCATAAGGGTATGTCGCAAAAAGCTCATTCGTTAGATAGTGCGATCGTGTCTAAGCGAAAATGGCATCTTTTATATGCGATAGTATGCTTATACATACAATTTCAACTTGTGACCCTAACTATTGTTACGAAACAAGCTTCGGGGATTCTCATGTAGATGGGGAGCAGGTAATTCTGATTTATTGAATAAATGGATCAAATAGTCCAAAATATTGTAGTGAAATGCTCAGCCAAAAAGACGGAGCAGGGGCTCGAATCTGTCAACTAAGGATTCGCGAAACCAAGCCACGTCCGTGGCACTATATGTGTGTAGTGTACATTCCCTCGTGGTTAGTACACTTTGATGAAAAAAAAAAAAAAAAAAAAAAGCTATATAAGTATGTGACTCGTACGTTTAAGTATACTGTTACACGCGAACACCAATTTTTTTATGCACAGTCGCGCCATCTGATGGATGAACTTCTTGGGATAATGAGATTATACGATACACCCTTATACCTGAGTCTCTCACGACATTTTTTTCACTGGGACAATATAAATAACCCAATAACCCCAGAGAGCTGAAATGTTCATGTTTAATAGTGAACACAAAGTCATGTGACCGATGAAGACGAAAAAAAGGTTTTTGTCATCCGGTACTTCAGGAGTTGACTTAGGGACATTCAGTGTATACCTAAGAGTTTCTGCCTGATCGACTACTTCACTGTAATTATTTCTTATCAATTAAATATTTCATAGTTCATCTAACGCAAAAAAACAGGAAAACTCGACAAGCTGGTATTTTTAGGCATTTCCCAAGATTGTATTGCAGTTTATTGGGAAATGAAAAAGAAAAAAGTTACATCTCTAAATCATGAACTATTACCGTGAAAGTATTGAGGCATCAATATTATTAAATGTTAATTTTCTTAGAAATAATTAAATTAAATGATCTGAAATTTGAATAGGACTTATAAAATAATAAGACTATCGCGCGTCTTCTCGTGAATTTTGTAAATGTTCAGTTTGAAAGCTCAAGTTTTATTTTCACAAGTAATACATAACCTACAAATTCATACACGATTAGTAAATTCATTTTTTAAATGACAAGTTGACAAATGACTGTGAGAATACCCGTGTTCACTTTATTATTTTAAAGGTCCTATTTAATTCATTATTTTTTGAGAAAATTTACATTTCATGTAATAGATACAGTTTTCTATTTTAATTCGCAATAAATTGCAATAGGTTCGATAAATTCCCATAAGTACTATCTTGGCAAGCCTTCTCGATATTTAACGTACAATTGGCTATAACTTGATGAATAAAAAATCGCCAAAATAGAGAAGTTGGTAGGGTAGAAACTCAGCTCAGGTACATACTGGATGCCCTTAATTTCAAGAATTTTTGTGCTAACATGTTAATATGTGAGCAAGTACTAAACCGATCTACAATGTAGCCAGTTATTTTTTTTAGTACAACATAAGCTGAAAAAGAAAAAGGAATATGGAAATAGGTAAATAACACAGAAGTAATATCTGTAGTATGTTTGAACAAGTGGATTAAATTAGTTATTCTTTATAAATGGACAAATGGATGAATGCTAGCACGCAATGATATTCCTGTGCTTTGTTAGTATTTTTCAAGATACTATGATGGGACAAAAAATAATAAAAATTGATGACTCTCAACTACTTAAAAAACAGACAGCAGGAAACTCATATCAGTTTTTAGATATGTTACGATAGTTTTGTGCTACAATTCCAGAGTAAAAAAAAGATTGTTCATGTCATTATAAGAAATAGTTAATAATAGTTTTTCCACTGATGCGCATATATTCCAGGACTATCACCGGGCTCGAAGACACTTGCAAAGGTTAATGCTTGAGAGACCTTTGTAGAAGCACTGGCTGGATGCGCATCAGTGGCAAGCAGTATGTTTACGCTGTTTAAAGTGGCTTAGACACTTCAAAATTATCAGGCAAAAGTCTATGAAACTCAGAGATTACGTTAATAAAATATGCAACATGCATTTGCAATACTAAGGTCATCAATAAAATTTTCAAGAAAATTTTTTCCGAAAAATTACCAATTTAACACGAAGACTTAGGGGAATCGTCAAAAAATTGACTATAATT